TCTGATCGATATCTAGCCTGTAATTGGCTTAAGTACTTGGAAGGAATTGAAACAAGGGATAGGTAAGTTCTCGGGTGGATGGAGTGCAGAAGATCCTAAAAACGTCAGTGGTGACGGCATACTCACTGCTGCATTACTTTCACACCAATGCTCACGAAAAACTATTGAAATATAATTATGAACACAAAATATTGGCTGCGTAAAGTTGTAACTTAGAGTAAAAAGATGTCCAACGTCTCAAATACACGGTAATGTTTTGCATTCTTATTAGGAAACTCTCGAACTATCTATATAACCGGGTGAATTAGGGAAAATAAGTATTAACTATTTCGAAATTTTCACATATTTATTTAAATGCAGTTATACTTTTCAGCAAGGATGCATAACAACTGAACTGCTCAAACTTGTTTTGTGATAGATTATGCATACTTCAAAATTGCATTTTGGAAGGACATTCGGTTTTTAGAATGTTAGCAGTTATTGTTTGACACGTATGCATGATGAAGCACGCGGAGTAATACCAGCATCATGCAAATCATGCAACGTAACTCCGGAGTTCTTAGTGATTTGGAAAAATGATGGCTCATCAGTTAAACGTGAGGGACAAAAAACAGGTTTCGGATAAAATGCAAATCAAAAGCAAAAGAGGGTAGCTTATATGTCAAAACAAACCTGAACTGAAGAGAGTATGGACGATACAAAATGCGGGTATATTGATGCAGTTAGTTTCAGGTCTATTCTGCCTTTATTAAGCACATCATAATCTGACCTCATCTGTGGAACATCTGCGCCGTGTGCAAGCACATATTTACATGTCGTTCCTCCTCTCGGCAATTATAACTTAGTCGATTTCGACCTGGTAGTTGGTTGCATATTCGTGACCTCTGCTTTGTTTGTTTCAAGAGGCCAACAGACGAGTGTGCGCCTATTCCTCAATAAACATGAATTGCTAGACATTGTTAATGACTAAGAAACTGCAGTCTAAACGCACAGTTACGTCCATTTCCTACGAACTGATTATTAACGAGGTTATACCCTGTTCTCTTTAAGAAGGAAGATCAACTTCAAAAATATGCGGCGTTTAAGCAATGGCTGTAATCACTAAAGATGACGCAAAGTTTAATTGGTGCGACACCGGAATGTCAAGATGCAGAAATAAACGTAGAATTATTTGCTGTATAAATTTATACCGGAGCCTCTGTACTGCAGGAGTCAGCCAAATGTATGGAATCGGCTTATAAGTCTACGGCTTATGAGGTCTGCAGAGGACCACAAACATAATATTTGCACTGCGCAGTCAGAAAAAAATAGCTCAAACGCTTGCCTTGGACAGTTGTTCACCAAATTCATCCAATTTCTGAGTAAGTGGGGTTTTCTCTTGCTCCGTCTGCATTATCTGGTTTCTGATCTTTCCGATTTCAGTTGACAGACCGGTGGCAACAACAACGCCACTGCATTTGCCGGAAGCAATGTTAGTTCCACTAAACAGCATGTTCTTTTTGTCCTGATTGACAGCTCGCAGGTCCGCGATGGCATCAGCTTGTTTCAGCACCGAGACCGACTCGCCCGTGAGGATGGATTGGTCAACGCGCAAAGTTGTGCTGTGTATGTCAATTATCCGAATATCTGCTGGTACTTTGTCACCAACTAAATAAAGAAAAGATTAAAGGATTATGGTTAAGATATAGCTATATTACTGTAAAGGTTTGTACGGTTTTATTGCGTGACTTCAAGTAAATTCTGCAGCCATGTGCATTTGTTCAGGCATCTAGCTTTTATGCTTTTTTGGAATATTTTACAGCTACTCAGAAAGAGCACTATTTCTGCTGATGGAGAAAAAGTCCACCAAGCCTTATAATGCGTATAGGGATAAGTAGATACGACTGTTTTGGATACAAAGTTCGTCTACGTGCTGTGACCAGTGCGCGAATTGTGGAGTATCATTGTCGTTTTGTGGGCTGCAGGGTCGACGTCTTCAACTAATTTACTAAGCTAAGAAAGTAAGTCGAAGTATACACATTTACCGTTAGCAAACTGACAAAAAAACCCTTTACATTTGCGCGTACTACACACTAAGAAGCTAAATTCACACTGACAGGGCAGTGCTTATCTCAAGGAAATCGGTACAAGGCATAGAAGTTATACAAGATGGAAATAGACTACCTTACGGGACTAGCAGTGTTCTT